CTTATAACACAAACTCTCTGGCTATTTGGAACAAGCAGCTGAATCTGCCTCTGCAATGTCTACCCCCAGGTACTCAGGAGTCACAGAGCTTTGTCAAACAGATTGGTGAGAACCTGGACTACATCATCACTGCCAAGTTTTTCAGAGCTGCAAATGCATCCAAAAATAGTTGTCTATTAGAGAACAGACAGTCTTTATCTCAGCTGCTGCCCAGCCTCAGCACTGGCACAAGCTCCCAGCAGAGACACGACTGGGCAGCAGTGCACTTGTATTGGCCTTGCTTGTTCTGGTTTCAGAGGTGGTTCTGTCCTGAACTGTGGAAAAGTGCAATTCTGCCAGAGTCACACACTGGCAATCCTCTTCCAGTAAATCACTCTGTGAGCATGTATAGTTTGGCAGAGTGTTACCCATATGTTGTGTGGAGTTTAACTGCTCAGAAAGCTCTGTTGAATCCAAAGGGCAACTGACAATATAAATAGGAGTTGGTGGGAGGAATACGTTACTCCTGATAGTGCATGGTGGATACACTCAGCAAGGTGTTACCTGGCATAAAAACCTAGCTAGGGCTTTGTGAGTAACTAGAGAGGAAGACAATTTTCTCAGATCTCTGTACGCAGCCAATACATCTCATAACAGCCTCCTTTTTCCTCTGGGTAAGACAGGATTGATATGGGCTTTGTGGTCCAGCAAAGATTTAGCCTGGAGATTCAGACTTTAAGATTTCTTCAAACCCTTCTTTTCACTACAACAATCTTAATCTTTTGAATATTAAACATCAATATTGAGTTTCTTAGCCTCCAGCAGTGACCAGCATGTGTCAGCATCCTGGTGTGAGGAGGAAGAGGCTTGTTTGCTACTCTCATTGCAAATAACTGCTGATTTTGCTGAGCACAAAAGCCAGGATCTATGTCCATCAGGTTTTCCTTGTATTTTCTTTTGGGCCACAACCACAGCACCACAGTCTCCAGAAGACACACAGATTCAGAGGCACACCACAGTAATGCAGCTTTGTTCAACCATATCAGATGCAAATTTCTTCCGTGCAATAAGAAGACATTTGAATTTGAAATCCAACTGAATTAACCACAAATACATAAAGAATAGGAAGTAGAGAAAAAAAAAAAAAGTCCAGTCACATGGACAGAGAACAGAAGTTCTAAAGTCACTGGGGCATCCACAGTAGAGCTTTTTCATGTTTAGGGACTAGAGTGCCTGACATTACAGGGCCTTCAGTTCGTAACCCCATCTTATTTTCCCATATTCTGTAATACACTGCCTACACTGGGGGCCTATTATGACTGGCATTGCTTCTAAAAGGAAGAATATTTTAAATTAATTTAAACAAACTAGAATTTAAGAAGCTAGAGCCTGTGACCCCTCTGTTGAACTCCTTAAGAGCATAAACCCTACAACTGCCCTCCAGTATGGTATCCTTGCAACAAGGATACAAATCTGGTTAGACAACAGAGGGGCTACATTCAGTTCTTAAGCCCTTTCTAATGAAATCTTGCATCTTGTAAGCAAACACTCTTATAGAAGCAATATGCATCAGCAACAAGCAAAAGCCTTGTATAAATTGAGTTCTGGATGCCCTAATTCTTAATGGGCTTTCTAAAATGTCTAATACATCCATTTAGAATGCATATAATTATTTTTTTTTTCAGTTCAGTGGAAAATTAGAGACTAGTACCCTTATCTCACATTTGAAAGCCAAAGTATTTTTCTTTTACAATCCAAATCAAAATTAAGTGTTCTATTTAATTTGGGAATATTTTTGAAAACAATTCAGGAGCATGAGGGGAAGACAGGGAATTCCATGTGTATGTTTTATCTGGAATTAGGCCAACAATCAAAATAGTGAAGAGTTTAGACCATCCCACGCTTGAGGAATTGTTGAATGAACTGTCTTAAAAAATGTGCCTTGACCAACTAATAAGGCTCAAGACCCAAATCTGTTGAAGCAAGACCAACTGAAAATTCAAAAAATTTATTAATGCCTCCCATAGCTCTGTATAACTTTTGCAGGGATATCAGCTTGGCCCACTTTGTATTTTATGGGAGAACTTCCCTCTGTGGTTATCAGGCAGTTGATGTCAGCAGACTGATATGTCACTGAATACCTGGCATGCTCTTCAAAGAGGGAGTGGAACCCTGGCCTCTCCTCTCAAAGCGTGGCCAAATTGCAGGGCAAGGGAGCTGGTAACACCCCTACCAATGTTCTGTACCTTCTCCCTCTCTTCCTGCCTCGTGCTCCCCCTGCCATGGTGAATATTGACATTTTCTTTTATGTAAGGGGGTAATTTAAGCAGGATTCTATACAGCTCAGAGCCTGCCTGAAAAATAATTCTCATGGGCTGTTGGATGTGGGGGGCCACATCCTGATAGGGTGCTGAGGGGCTAAATGCAAAGAATTTATTGTTCTCTTGTTTCTCATGAAAGACAGGACATATTTACTGGAATATAACCCTCCCTTATTATGCCATTTATAGGAAACACATATTCAGTGTTTATAAAGCAGTTAATTTATAACAGACAAAACCAGATTATCTGTCTTTGGAAGAGCAAATATTTGTTCAAAAACTTCCAAATGGGAGAGACATCTTCATCTCATTTTTAAACATAACTGATTGAGAAACTTAACAGAAGAGCTACCTAATAGGTAAGATAAGATTAATATAAAGCATTTAGATTGTAAAGGAAAGATTATTATATCTTTTATTTATATATATATATATCTATAATGCAATTTTACATATTTATCAGTGATTCTCTAGATGTGATGTTTTAAATGGTTGTAGACCTTAATCAGCTTCTAATGGATTTTTCTGTTGCTGTAATGCTTTCAGAAAAAAAAGGCATTTGCACAAGCAGCTTCTTTCTTTGATATTGATATTTCTAGAAATAAATATTTCTTAAAATGGAAATAATGTTCACTTTGCTCTAACACACATTTATTAATGAACTGTCTGCTCTACAAATAAAGTGAGTTGTCTAAAATTAACAATAAGCTTCACTCAGGTCTAAAAATACAAGTAAATAATGTACATAAATTCTACTTTATTGTTCCCAGAACTGCTTTTCTTATAGTTCTAGAGGACATGCTCTATTTCTAACTAGTAAAGGTGAATTATACAGATGCTTTAATGTTAATTTTAAATGTTTGCAATCTCAGATTTGCAGTGATTACTTAGTGCAACTGCAAGGTTTTTATTCTCATGTTCTTTGCACCCAAATCAGCAGCAGATGTGTATGTGTTTGCCTGAGGATTCAGGAATCTTTTCTTGAGTGTTGAATAGTTTGGGATAAACCTGGAAACAAGAGCTCCTGCGTTTGTCCTGCCCTTTCTGTCCAAAACCTCTCTGTGCTGGGAAGGCAGAGCCCTCTGAAAGGCAGCAGTGCTTTGCCCAGTCTGTCCCTTCCCATCTCCTGGGGGAAGCTGGTGGCCACTGGAGCCAAGTCCTGTCCCCGACCTCCCAGAGAGAGACGCAGCAGTGACGTCTGCCAAACGCAGCGCTGTGTGCAGGAATTGCACCCTGCCCAGAAAAGATGAGGAAGGGCTTGTGCTCTGCAATACCTGGTGAGCAGTTAGGCCTGATGCTGACTGCATTTAGAGGAGGAACTGCTGCTGCAAAAAATCCTTTCCCTGTGATTGAATATGATCAAAATCAAAATTTTCCAATCCCTGCCTCTTCGTTAGAGCTGACTCTGCAGTGTCCAAGAATGCTTCTTGAAAGTAGGGATGACTCCCAGAGGAAAGAATCTCCTTCTTTGCTGCCAGAGCAGGTGCATCACTGCGGCAGGAACAGGACCTCTGTGCCTGTGCTTCCTCCACAGAAGTGGGTCACTACATAAGCAGAAGGAATGCTCAGCAGTTCCTGCACTAGCTCTGAACTGCACTGCTTCAGCCTGCCAGGGGACAGTGAGTATCCCAGCACTGGAGATGTCACAGGCACTGCCTGACCAGCAAGGCAGGAGCTGAAGTCAAGTCATCCCCTTCCCTACTCCAATCCTGAAAATCCAGACAATGGGAATCTCATTTAAAAAAAAATCAAGGGTTAATGGGAAATAAAAATAAATTTAAAAAAAATTCACAACATGTTTGCTGCATATTTTGCTCTGTTCTCTGTCTGCCATGCACTCGAGAGCAGGCATAACATTCATCGAATTCACTGCCTCCCCATTAAGTCATGACAGCCCATCTGTGTTGCAGCAAGTACAGAACGTGACCTATTATCTCAAAAGAAAATAGCACACCACCTGACTGCCAAAAGCACCTCGTGACTTGGCACCCAAATGTCTCAGTACTCACATCAACATACCTTTTCAGGACTAACTCCCACAGCCTGAATCAGCCAACTGTGAAATTCAGCTGAACTCTGAATAAACCGGATAAAACCAGCTTTCCCATATGCCAAATCACAAATTATACAATGACCGTAATTTTCTATTACAGATCCTTAGCTTAAAAGGAGTAGTTAACAATTGCCACGTGATTCAAGACTTTTGAATCCCTTACTGCTTTACTGAGGGGCCATATAATCCAGTTTTTAATCTCATTTATCCCTTTGCCCACTGCTATACAAAAGGTATCTGTGCAGGTTTGGTGGTCTTGAACATCCCATTTAATTTATAACGGGAAAATGCATCTCCAAAGATTGTAGCCATTAAAAATTTTTCCATAAGGTGCAATTCAATACTGCTGTATGGGAGAAAATTCATATATTGCTTTATGGAAAGATGGATGATAGTAATATTGGCACTTTATGCTTGCAAAGTGTATTTCATTTGCAAATTTGCACAATGTCTGATGCTACGGTTTGCCTAAGGTGTCCTGTAAGATCTGCCTGGTCTTCTCTGAATATTTTGGAATATATACCCTGAAGATGCAGAAAGACCACTTCATTACATCTATGACCTTCTGCATTGTAAATGGAAGAATAAACTAAAAAGTAATTTTGTTGTCTTTCTTTTTTTCTAGGAAAAAAACATCTCTAAAGAGCTCATTATTGGATGCCAACATGAAAACAGGAATCTACATACTTCTCTTAAGTGAATTATGTTTTGAATTCATCCAGGCTGGTATCAAACCTAAATTTCCAAAAGAGGAAAAAGAGAGTAATTTCTTGGAAAGAAATAACGTCAGTATTTCCAAAGAGTGGTATCATCACAAAAATATCTCTAAGCCTTTTGAACATCAAGGTTTTGAAGACCAAGGTCTTGAAGACTTCACTCTTCACAACTTCACTGAAAAGACTGCAAATTTCGGATTTAACCTCTACAGAAAAATTGCAATGACACATGATAATAATGTAGTCATCTCTCCATTTTCTGTGTCAGCTCTCATGAGTGTCTATATGATGGCAGCCAAAGGAGAAACACACAGACAAATTGTAAAAGGTCTGAACCTCCATGCTTTGAAGGACAGAGTGGATCACCAACATTTACCAGCTTTGTTTAAACAATTGATAGGTAACATCACAATGAATGAAGAATTTCTCCTCATGCAAGGTGTTCTTTCTTTTATTCAAAAGGACTTCAGACTCAAAGAGTCCTTCCTGAATTTATCTAATCAGTACTTTGATATGGAATTCCTGAAAGTGGACTTTGAAAACTTAACACAGGCAAAACTTTTCATCAATCAAAACATTAATAAAATGACCAAAGGAAAAATCCCAAGGCTTTTTGAAGAGCTGGACCGCCATAATAAACTGGTGCTTGTGGACTACATTTTCTTTAAAGGTAATTGCTGTTTTTATTTTGCAGAATAGTTATTTATTAGGAGAATCAAGACTCTAACTTAAGCTACATTAGGGGGAGTTTAAATGAATTTAGATGTCCTGTTTTCTCTATGTCTTTGTCTAAGATTACTTTTTTCTATTAAGCTTATTTAATAGGAAATTATTTTTCATTATAGGAAACCACAATTCTTCTATGCTTTCTTCCACACAATAGAGTCTCAAAGAGAACAAAAAGCCCTGTATCAAACTATCTCAGTCCATCTCCAAATTCTCCCTCTTTATGACAGGAAACAATGTTTTATTTTCATTCACCCATTAAAATGAAAAAGTCTTAATCACAACAGTCTTAAATGCTGAATACTGGGCACAAAATCATGGATTGATTTAACATAGTACACAAAATCATTGAAACAAAAATAATTTCTCCATTTCCATCAAGAATCATCTGCCCCAGAGGAACCCAAGTACCCGATTATATAACCTTACAGGGTGAGGGAAAGAAATACCAGTGATGGGCAGAAACCATTCCATGGAGAAGTCAGGGAATCCCCATCCGAAATATTGGATAATTATATTAAATACAGGATACTGAACAGTTCATAGAAAATTTCAGAGAAGGTTACATGTTAGGAAAGGTCACATGCTCACCAGGCATTGATAAAACAAAGATAACATAAATTCTGAACTTGAGTGGCAATTAACCAGCCTCTAGAAAAATATTTCCCTTCTTTCTGTGCAAATGAAGCAGTTTATTTTGTGGATTACTTTGGGGTTTTTTCTGTAAAAAAATTTATATACAATAAACATAAAATATAATGAAATTGTCATCCACTTATCCCAAACACAACTGACAGCCACTTCAATTAGATACAGAAAATATCCTAAGCTTAACTTTTTAGATCATTTTTCTGAACAAATATAAACACATATATTTAATTTCTTTCTTTCCTTAGGCAAGTGGGTCTATCCATTTAATTCCAAATTCACGGAAATTGAGACTTTCCACATTAACAAATACAGAAGCGTACAGGTACCTATGATGTTCAAGTCAGATAAAATTAATTCCACTTTTGATGAGAACTTGAGATGCGCTGTGATAAAGATACCTTACAAAGGGAATGCCCACATGCTGATTGTTATCCCAGAAAAAGAGGGAGACTACATTTCAATTGAAGACCATTTGACTACAGAGCTTGTGGAATCCTGGCTTGGAAACATGAAAACCAGGTATTTCTTTGACACCCATGGGGCCCTCTTTGTCTTTGATGTCTACTGCAACAAAACCCAGCAAAGTTCAGCTGGTCTTCCTAAGCCTTTTCCCATGGTAGCATCTCTGTGGCAAGAGGTGTCTACAGAGTAGAGGTCCTTTAATGGCCTATCCACAGCCCAAGTGGCATGTGAAAGTTTTGACTCAGAGGCAACAAACTTCGGCTTATCTCAGTTAAAAATGTCTCTGTGAGAGAAAGCATGAGTTTTTCCATATTCTTCCTTAGGTCTCCTTTCTCCTTAAATTTAGTACTGCCAAGCAAAAAACACTATAAATCTAAACATTTATTAAACATTTCTTACCAGGGGAAACCCAGAGGAATTGATAAATTTGAATATAAACATGTAAACCTCAATGATTCCTGTGAAATGTAGCTCCTGAAGTGAAAATTCTTTTCACCAGTCAATAAATTAGTGCGTCGCCCTGGTATTAGGACACTGTAACTGCTGGTGGAAGTATTTATCTAGAGAAGGAGATTATTTCTAGCATCACTGGCAGCCAACAGGTTACAAATTATTTTCTGCCAACCGAAATACCAGGAGAGACTCTTCAGTTTTTATCCCTTCTTTTTCTGTGTAAAGCTTAATTCCTGAGTAGTGTGCATTTCAGCAGTCAAGTGACCGTTTGCATCGAATTTATTTTTTTTAACAGAAAAATGGATATTTCATTTCCAAAGTTTAAACTAGAGCAAAAATACAAAATGAAGAAACTGCTTCAAGGTCTTGGAATTAAAAAGCTCTTTACACGTTCAGCAGATCTTAGTCATCTGACAGATGAAGAATATGTAGCAGTTTCACAGGTAAGCACTAAAATTATTTGCTGTTTGGATTGTAATAGTATAAAAACAGCCCAGCTAAGATGGTCATATGAATTTATAGGGACACTAACAGCAAAGAACCTCATCTGCCAGGTATGTGCAATCTACACATCTTAATCATGATGGATCCCACTTCAAGTATGAGGTGTGTAGGGGAAAGGGGTAGTGGCATCTCATAGGTGCTCAACACCTCCCAAAGTGCATTTCCCTAACCCACCACAGGAGAAAAGCTCTGCCTCCAGAGGAATATGGTTGGCTGGAAATGAGCAGAATTTCACAAAAACTGTGAACAAGAAAGACAATGTAAATGACAGTGAAATGGCAAAAACCAGGGCAAGGAAGGACATTCAAGGAAAGAACTCCTCATAGACAGTCCAGAGACAGGTATACTTCTCAAAAAATAAAGAACCTTAGAAAGTTTATTATAATAAAATCTCAAAAAGGTAACAGTGAGGAAGAGAAGTCAAAGCACTCCTGTTTTTCCCCTCTATATATATATGGAAGAGAAAAAACGGAATCTCACAGGAAAGGACTGACACAATATAGTTGTACTCCAACCCATACAGATGTTCCATTTTGTATGCTGAAGCTTTCAAAGAACCTTTAAACAGGTAAAGGCAAGGGCAGTGAATGGCCAAGAAGGCAGGAACACAGCTCCACGTAAAAAGAGGAGCAGGAAGAGAGACTTTGTACCACTGTTTAAGGGAGGGCACAGATGAAATTCAGACTGATGGAAAACAGAGGAAGAATGAGAAGCAGAGGAGTATGGAAGACAAAGGACTTGGCAATCACATCAATATGAAGAGGTCTATGTGACCAGGGATGTCTTATGAAAAAGAAAGGTAGTCTATAAGAAGAACAATTTGCTGAAAATAGAAAATTGAAATGCATGGTCAAAGAAAGGAGATGAAAGGCAAAACACACAGAGATACTTGTGCCCACAAGATTGGAGTGTGTGGAACAAGATGAAAAGCAGTGAATTCTAAATACAAATTCATACATTATAATAAAAGTTAAAAAAAAATTCTGAAACAAGATTAATTTATAAACAAGATACAAATAAAATTACTCTGGCACAGGATTTAAAAACGTAGCTTTATAAACTTATGTAAGGAAATTGTAGCATGCAACTGCTCATGGTTGTGGAGGGTTGTATGGCACAGACAATCCAGGACCACAACTGCAGGAGAGGCTTCCCAGGATCACAGAATGGTTAAGGTTGGAAGGGACCTCTGGAGGTCACCTGGTCCAACTCCTCTGCTCAAGCAAGGTCACCTTGCGCAAGTTTCTGAGGTCCGTGTCCAGACAGCTTTTATATTATTTTTAATATCTCCAAAGAGGAAGAATCCACAGTGTGCCAGTGCTGAGTCAGCCTCACATGAAAAAGCATTTCCCAGTGTTCAGAGGAAACCTCCTCTGTTGAAACCTCCTGTGTTTCACTTGGTGCCCACTGCCTCTGGTCTTGTCACTGGGCACCACTGATGAGCCTGGCTCACCTTCTTTGCAGCATCCCTTTGGGTACTTGTACCCTATGAGAAAGAATCCTTCTGGTGCTGCTCTCACAAGTCTCCCTACACCAAATCCTTACAGAAGCCTTTGTGATTAGCCAGTTAACAGGGTGGGATAATAAACACTTCTCTGCAAGTTTCAAAAACTCTCATGCTTGAGCTACAGGTTTTCAAAATTGCAGTGGCTTAACAAAACACCTTTCTGGGAAGATGTAACATCCCAAGAAAAAATATTTAATGGATAAAATTGCAGTGATTTTCAGTTTGGTATGAACTATTTCACTGTTGGGAAATGGCAATCTGCAGCACTTTTCTCCCTTCCTCTTGATCATGTAACTTTCATGCTGATTCTCAGCAGTTAACTCTATTGTGTTATGAAAAAATCACACTTTAACAGGAACTGCTAACTGATATTAGAAGCAATATGTGCATCAGCTACAAAGTGCCAGAGGAGCATCCTGTCCCTGGGAATTGTGAAAGACAAAAATATTATTTAATAATATGTAGCAGAAACCTCAACACTGGTGAAGTCCTTCAACTGTTTTCACATAAGTAATTCCTAGAATTAGGAGTTTAGAAGCTGTAAATCCACTAGATGACCAGGTAGTTCACCAGCCACTAACACAGCAGAAGAACTCATAGGTATAAGCAGGCAGAAAGAACAAAATGGAAAAGATGAAAAAATGAAAAATCATATTCTGCCAGGCTGCAATTTCATTAGGATGAAATGATTGGTGCATTTCCCTAAGCTCTCACAACATCAGCTGCAAATGACATATCCAGGCAGTCAGTGTTTGTGACTGGTGAAAACACATTTCCTACAATTGAGAAACGCCTTTGCACAGTTAGGTGTCAAAGAGGGGCACTCTACACAAAAAAAAAAAAAAAATGCAATGGCTGTTTCATACAAAACCCTCAGTCTCCAAGTGAGGTCTGTGTTCAGAAATGTGGAAAAGTGCAGTGACTCCTGAACTGGCATCCACACTGGGAGCCTTGTGGGCACAGTGGCTGTGCTGACTCCTCTACCAGTCTAACAGAGGTAGACTGCACCGAACTGCTCATTTTAATCCTTAACAGAAGCCTACTTCAATGGAATGCCTTCAGCTGGAAAAATACTCTTCATGTTAGTATTTACTCCTGTCACATACTTATTTCTGCCTTGCATTTCAGGTTGTCCAAAATGCAGTTATTGAAGTGGATGAAGAAGGAACTGAGGCTGCAGCAGCAAGTGGCTCAGAAATAACTGCATTCACAGTGCCTCCTGTCATCAAAGTGGACCGGCCATTCCTCTTCATGATTTTTGAAGAAACTTTTAAAACATTACTGTTCATTGGCAGGGTGGTTGATCCAACAGAAATGTGAATAAAGGTAATAGTTTCTATTCTTTGGTATGTAAGAAGCTTTATTTTTAATAGTTTATTTTATAATAAAAATACACTGAAATATGAAATGTGAAAACATCTCCTGTCTCTCCTAGCTAGCACTAGGTCATCCTAGCAATATTTTATTGATGCCACACAACAAGCTACGTTCATTAAGGCTCAAAGCAACAAAAATGTGACTTGTAAAATCTACCTCTGGTAAAAGAAAACCCAACGACAACAGAAGTGAAATTACAAAAATCAGTATTTTAGTGATAAATCTGAAAAGCCCCAGACATTCAAATGCCAAAATATTCAGGAAGCTCACTGCCAAACACTGCAGATTCCTCAATGTTATCTTCTGTTACAGAGACTGAAGAGCCCAGTGACCTCAGAATTTTGCCAGTTATAAGAACAGAAGCATATCAATCCCTAAAAGAGAATTTATAACCTTTGTCTAGAGATCTTTATTTTATTACTGTAGAAAATAAGTCTGTCATGAAGTCTACCTTGTGAGTGTGACCTCTTTCAAAGCATTTATGCAGACTGTCAAATCACCTTATTTTCTCAGAGTACATGATGTGCCTTGAAAATATTCTTTGAATTAAAAACAAAATAGTTCTGAAAAATAGGTATTCTGATTTTGGAAAATCTGGCCTATACTATTTCATAGCACAAAGCCAGCCCTCTCCTACCCCAGAATTTCTACCTGTAGTATCACCTAGACACCAGGGTGAACTATGTAACAGGACTCTATAACTGAAATAAAGCAGACTTTGGTAGGAAAAAACATACCTACATTAAAGTGGAATAAATCTATTCACAGAGTTGATCCTAAAATCCAAAAGGTGTTGCAAAGGTGTTTCAGAAAAATATTTCAGAAATATTTTCAGAAAAATATTTCCATGATCTAATCAGAATTTCCTTTATTCAAGTAGAGCAGAATGCATCCAGCAGAATGACAAGATCTTAAGATTTAATAGATTTTAATTAGCAGAGTCCTACATGTAAAGTACAAAACAATGAAAAAGCTACTTCTAGATTTATGTAACTAACAGATGTCAGCATTATTCTGCTTGCTCATACAACCTTCACAAAATAATTGCCCAAAAAGGAGCAGAAGACTTTTCAAAATCATTTGGCAAGGAACTTCACAGGTGTCTATCAGTACATATTCACAGATACCTCTGCTAGAGGAGATACAAAAGATACATTATGGGATAAAGCTGATAAATCTCAAAAAATCCCCTCAGTTACCATTTGGTGTCTGCCCACAGCAGCCCAGACACTGATGTACTCCACTCACAAAAGGACTTAGGAGGCAGGCTCTGCTATCTGACTAGACTATGAAGAGGCATCTAAGCTAACTCCAGACTGCACTACAAATGTACCCAGAAAGAGAATCACTCCCTCCTGCCACTGATCTATATGAAAACCAACAAATGCCACTGCACAGTTGACCTTCAGCTGTTGTTCCAGAGCTACAGCTGACCAGCAGGTATAAGGGTTCAAATGCATTGGTGCTGTTTAACAGAACTAACCCAGAAGTAAGTGGCCCCTAAAAAGACTGCTTGGACGGAGGTCTGTAGTGCAGAGGACTGATGAAAGTAGGCACAAGACACCAGAGGTATTGCAAAAGGAAAATGTCCAGTCCAAAAATGTCTAAACAGAGCATTTAAAGATTACATTAAAGGAATTTTTGGTTATTGAGCACTAGAGCACGTTTTCAGCATTAAATAAATTAATCAGCTTAAAATGACAGACACTGACAGCCAAGAAGGAACAGAAGACAGACTGTTCACAGAACTCATTACCTGCTTATTAAGGGGAGAAAGCTTCGATTTTCTGAACTTACTGGTTGTTCTGCATTGCTCTGCAAGGCATCAAAAGGGCAAACACAGTTTTGAGTCTTGTTCTACAGCTGGCTACTGATGATGTGAGTTTGGTCCCTGCCAAAGGTCAGACTAAGAGCAGCCTGAGCAGTCTCCTGTGCCCACGGGTGAGCAGCTGTAGCTGCACCTGAGTCAGCTGTGCCTGGGGAACTGGGAGAATCTGCTTGCATTAATGAACCAAAAGCAGAACCCAGGAGGAGCCAGCCCAGGTCATCTGTACATCTCTACCAATACTGAATGTTAAACATCATCAAACTCAAAGAAGCTGCTAAAGAAATCTGTGATTTACAAGATCCTATGCCAGGCTGCAGAACAAACTGAAAAATTAAGTATTTCCACAGAACCCAAACAATGCCTGTGACGTAAGACAAAGGATGCTGCTAAATCTAACTGAGGTGTAGGCAGCTTAAGCATTCAGACAGTGCTTAATCCAAAGAAATATTCTGTACTTCACACATACATTCAGTATTATTAGTATTTTAAATAAATACCCTCCATAGGTAATTGTTTTTATTTATTTTAATTATAAAAGATGCCCTGAGAATTTTTTTTCAAGAACATGCATGTACAGCATTGTCCTATGTTTTATTTTGAGTAAATCATTATTCATGTTCTTACATTATAAAAAGTAACCACACTCACATATGCATACACAGACCAGATCATCTTTATCATACAGCAATGAATTTTAAAAATCATATATTTCTGATATCAATATATTTATGCTGCCTCCATTTTGAAAGAGAAGCTGACAATAGCTTCATAATCTCTCTCAAGTATTGGCATAAATTGAACTTTTCAAAATATGATTGCATGTTTTTCCACATACATTTTGATAGAAACATTAGCATTAATGCAAACAAATGCAGATGACATCACTGAACCATGGCAGCTTGCAATAGCAGCTGATTAAAAACTAGATTCATTATTATAAATTATTAAAGTGAAAATACAATTTGAAATACTAAAATTAAAACAAGTACTTATACAACAAAATGTACGAAATAAAACTTTTTTTTTTACAGCATCTGGAGACATTTGCTTTTAGATTGCTTTGAAACTTACACAGGATTTTTATGAACTTAGTACTTGTAAAAACATTAATTCCAAATTCACAGCACAATGCTTCAAAAGTCTATGGTTTTTTTATAGACTGATCAATGGTTCTGTACTTTGGTCTTAAAATCAGATTTGCAGGTTCTTTAAAATGTGGGATTCCTTTTTCATATTCATAACAATTCTTTCTATTTCTACCTTAAAATATGGCAGCTAAGAGTTGCTGAGATTGTAAAGAAGCCAATCAAATAATGGGTATGTGCATTCTAAATCCAAGACTTCAAACTACAAAGGCATAACTGAAGAAAACAAAAATCTTCTCCTTAGCTGCAGCAGTTAAGAGCACATAGCTGAAGTTATGGTTCATATCATTTCACTACAATGTTAGTATTCTGCAACCATTACATTGTTTATCAGAAAATATTTTACAGATTGGAATTTTATTTAAAAGATTTATTTTAAATTTTTAACATTGCAGGATGCATTTTACTCAGTCCAGGCATTAGAGAGTCCCATCTGCTACTCCCACCTTATCCCACCAGAACGTTGCTTCCTTCAGTCTCTGGTTCCCTCCTTTTTCAGATGATCTAGGAGTTTGATTTTCTGTTTTTTCTTCATACAAAAGAAGAAACACACACAATATGTTGTTACTATATTATTAAATTGCATAACATATTAACTGCTATTGTGCAGAAAATTTTAACATAACTCTTGGCTGCTGTACTTTAAAAATTATTAGCTGTTCTATTGCACCCAGTGAAAAAGCCAAATGCATATATTCTGAGGGCATTCTTCTCAAGAAGGGTGAAGTTCTCCATTCAGGTGTCTACAGAAGTTCTTGTAGAGATCCATCTGACAGATGATTCAGGTGGTACAAGCAGTCTACTCATGGCTACAGAAAGTGCCAAAAGCCTGGCACATTGCACTGTGATTTCTAGCTGTTCTGTTGACCACAAGGTCATTTGGGTAATTTCTGGATTTTTCATGCCTTAATTTTTAAATCTGTATATATACTGTTTATACGTTTTAAATAGCTGTAGCTGTCAATTAACAACTATTTGTATCAGACAGAATTATTTACAAGATGGGGTGTAACTTTTAGAACTCTTGGAAAAACTAATTTGCATCTATATTTTACAGTATCACTTACATATAACACAATATATTGTTCTGTTTCATTCTGTTAAAACTGCTGAATATTTTAAAACTGCACATATTATATGATAATACATCAGTGTCAGGATACCTACTAGCTTCATCATAGAAATGGGACACAAAACACAAGCCAGTCCCACTGGAACTCGGAACTTCCAGCATCTTAAATGTCATGATGAAAACATGATTAAAAGCTGTAAGTAACCAACTCAAATTGTAGTAGATCAGTGCCAGAACTATTTCATCTTGTGCTTAACTTTCTAAGCAATTATATGACTGGATGAAAGACATTACTTTAAGATACTTATCTTAAACATATAACTAGTACAGGCACCAAACTGGATGTCTTATAGGTCAGTTGTGGACATCTTATAAAACACTGATATTTATTTAGATTTATTGCTGCATAAAAATTATCTTTCTAATAATAAATTAGAAATTTCTAATAATAAATTAAAAAATTATTTTTTATGCAACAATAAATCTACTCCCTATTTTTACAAGATGGAAAACCTGTACCACACATCCTTGAAGAAAGTTTTGAGTCAAAGTGAAATAAAATCAGCCAATATCTGTATGTCTATAAGCAAGATGCAAAATACTTAAATGCCATCTATGAAGTGAATATATTCATGGACAAATCTATAAAGTTTCTAAATAGTTTTAAACAATTGCATGTTGAACATTTGCAGTCATACTACAGCAATATAAACTCAAGCAAAACATCTTATACCTAACAATCTCATAAAGCTGACAACATTCGAAAGAATATAATAAAGCTGCATAGCCTAATGATACAAGATCAGACTGCTTGATAGAACACAGTGTTCATGATTTATGTCAATGTCTGCACTAGGATGATTCATGATCCAACTGGCAACTCTTCAACAGGAAGTGA